TTTTTAATTTCATTTTTTGTTGCTGTTTGGTTAGTTTCTAAGCGGCAGCAGCTGCCGTCAATGCAAAGAACGTTGACGCTCGATCGTAGGTTGGCCAGCGTATTACGCGAGGGAGCCGCGATTTTTATTAGTATTCTCCATTTGGCTCGTTGACGCAAAAGAATGAAACGATATTGCACAAGCTGGAAGTGGTTTAGTGTGCTACATGCCCTTCGCCGTAGCAGCCCACGGAATTCGAAAAAATGTTTTAGGGCATTGGACAAATAGAATTATAAAATAATAAAGTTGTTTCAAAAAAGTTATTTTTATTAATATATTCTCAAACTATATAAAATAGCTGACTAACAATTTTGTAAAAGGAAAATTAAGAGAAAATTGAAAATCATTAAACTATTCTCGAAATTGTAAACAAATTGTTAGCTTAAAACTAATTAGAGACTTTTCAGATGTTTTAATAAGCTATGTTGAATCACATAGAATTAACTCAATTTTATTAAGAAAGTTATATTTTTATAAATATGCATGGAAGAATTTGAAAAAAAGGTGGAAGGTGAAAAGAAACACAAATTTAATGAAGTGATCAAATTTATCAAAATAAGCCGTTGACAATAAAGTGCTAAATATTTGGGTTATGAATATTGGAAATATTATTCGCATATGTAAAAATTCCTTCTCATTAAAAAAAAAAACGGATATGAATTAGATGATAAGATCTGTTAAGAAAGGGCAGAACTTGTGTTTAATCGGAAATGGATTAAAAATATATAATCAATGAAAACAGAAGTGATTTCCCAAGCGCAAACACATATTATTGTAGATCGTTAGAGCTGACTTAATTATTGACTAACTGCTTCGTAGCCCATCCCTCACTTCTGATCGAGCTCGATGCAATTAGTCAAGCTCCCCGCCAATTAGTCACAGAGAATTTCCAGTTAAAGCCCAGCTGAAGCCAGCTGAGGTCTTTTGTGATCTGTTTTGGGTGGTGCGGCACACTCATCCGCAGATCGGGTTGGATCTGGGATGCCTTTTAGGGCCCCAGCAGCTTAGATAACAATTAGAGAATAAATTTATTTGGCCGCATGCTAATTTCAATATTTATTGGCGGAGACAAAGGAAAGGCAGCTAGCGAAGCGCCAATGTTGGGTGACTATTTCAGCGACTTTTGGTGGAACAAGTAGTTGAATTTCCTTTTTTAAAGCTCAGCTATTGACAGGCAGAGAGTTACACTTATCTTCGCCAAAGTGTGTGTGTGTGTGTGCGAGTGTGACATTAAACCACACACAAACAAGTCCGCCATATTTGGCAATTGACTTTGCAGTCAGCCAACAGTGCTATTCGCGATATATATCTACATACACACTGTTCCAAATGCACAGAAAAATAATATGATAATTTTAGACATTATATAGAAATTTTGCTAAATTATAATTATTCTAGTTCATTTGATTAAAATGAAAAAATTAATATAGTTTTTAATATAGTTTTTTTAAGTTTGGCAACTTTAAAACGTAGTCATGTTTTTTATCTCTGTATCAACGTAATATATATGCGTGCTTGGTTTTTTCTTCTTTTAACTGTTTACGCTGCCCACATGCGATGGCCTGGGCTTGATAAATAATTTTAGTTTTATAAACACAAATTGACACTTCAAATTGTTTGCCAAAAAACCGAGGGAGAGGGAACGAATCGAAAAATGAAATCAATTTGAATTAAGCCGCCGCGCTTTGAAGAGTTGGCGGAGATTTCTTTGGCCTCGAGGGGTGGAGCCCGCCGCCTTGATTCAGATTGGGCATATCATGACCGAAAACACTTCTCGGAATCCGAAAGGCAGGTAGCCGCCCCACTTGTTCATGTTCTTGTTCTTGTTCTTGCTAAGACGCCCTGGGCTCCCATAAAAAATTCGAATCCGATTCGTATCGGCAAAGATCTGAACACGGCTTCTAATTCCCTCGAGCAACGAAATGGAACCGACGCGTCGATTCGGCTCATTCGAACACATTTAAGAGCTAAAGATTTCCAGATTTAAAGAGCAAGGTAAGCTCCGTTGGGAGTTGGTCGTTATTGCCGCATTATGCTTGCGTTAATTAATTGTTTATTTGTCTTGCGATTACCGCCGATTTTCGTCATACAAGTGGAACATTTGTAATTACAGAATGTCTCCGCTAAAGACGATCGTAAGTGGGATAACTTTAAAGAAACATTGCTTTTATCCCATGTTTAATGTTGCTTATTTTTATAAGATTAAAATAATAAATTGCAAAAACAATTTATACAAAATTAAAAAAAAATTAATATTGTTTGGTTTTTGTCAGATACAAACTATTTTGCAAGCTGATTCGGCCTTTTTTAACATAAACCAACAAATTTTATTGTTTAAAATAGTATATAAAGCACAATATAATTTGTAAAACTTTCAGAGCATAGAGTTAGCATTTCAAGCTAGAATATATTTTACATGATGCATATTCACCAAATAATCCATTTTACTTATTTTTGATCTTCAGAACAAAATGAACACATTTAGATAAAAAATATATACAATTTTTAAACATATTTATTCTATATCTATAGTTTAAAATCATTTTAATTGTGCTATTCAAATCACCTTATTTAAAATAAACTTTAATTTGTTATCCCACTCGATGTTTATGCGTAGAACAATGTTGCTAAGGTTTCAATGGACAAATGCATTATTGATATTTAAGAGGGGGCGCCAAAGTCTTATCATTATTATGGTTGCGCGTAATTGATCTAGTTTCGTGGCGTTCGCCTTCCACGCTGCATTGGAATCGAAGGAAGTGTTGGGTGCGATTGGTAATAAATATTATCACAGCTGACCGCGACTAATGGGCAAACAAAAGCGGTTAATAGGCCGCTGGTCAACATTCTGATGGCGACCGCGTGAAAAACTCACCATGGGAAATGCGGGAATGTGGGGAAAACACCTGTCCGATGTCGATCCAATTCCAGTTTAGATCGGGAATGGATTTGGTTTATCGTACTTATCGAATGCACTTTGTTTCGCTTTTGTCGGGGGTTCTTGTTGCTGCCACTTTGCGGTTGCGGTTGCCGTTGCGGTTGCCTTTGCTTTTGCTTTTGCTGCCGATTTAATTAGCAATACAAACACATTAGCTAATGCACACACGAGACACAGCCACACGAATTGGCGCCCACGCAGCGTGCAAAAAGCGTAGAAAAGCCAAAGGCAAACGCGTTTATTGAAAATGCAACGCGTACAGAACTCGATGTCGCGCAGACTCAGATCAAAATTCAAAACCAAAACAAAATAAGAGCCAAACAAGCTGGACAGTTGGACAGCAAATGGCGAGTACTGACCGCTGCACATGCACTTTGAATTTGCCTCTGCCAGCGGAGTTCTCGCCTCAAAAACAACTTAAAACAGCTCAAAACAACTCGAAACAACACAAAACACCACAAAACACCTTCACAACACACCTTTTGCCTGCTGCCGGATAACCGATTCGTTCGAGTGATCGCGAGTGACTGAAATAACGGCGAGCTTGCGCGGTTTGATTTTCCGACGATCGCCCGATTGCGCGCGCCTCTGACGAGCGACAGTGCTGAGTGATTTTTGTTGCCAGTACGGATCAACTTTAAAAAGACTAACAAACTAAAATCTTTGGCATGAAATACGTTACAATTAACAACCTAAATCTATTCTATCATACGTTACCATTTGACCACTAAAAAATAAGAACATTACGTATACGTAATTACACGTAGGAGCTATTTTACAAAAAAAAAAAATTATATTTATATATCTTGGATTCGTTATCCACTTTTTGCACATTAATTGGTACAAGCAAACACAAAGATTTTTTAAAAAAATTGGAAGTAGTATTGTGCATTACATTTAGTAAACTTCAGTATTTTTCGGCATTAGTCTGTAGTCACAAATAATTTAATTTTGAGTCAATTTACTAAATTTAATTGAAATAAAATTATATACAAAACTATTTAACAAAACTTAAGCTGACAAAATTAATTTCAAGCAATAACTGAAACAGACAAACAGCACTGCTGAGCGTTGCTAAGCTCTTCGCGAACCAGCTCCGATTAACAGAGCCGCTGCTAACAGTTGCGATCAGTGTACAGCTAATTCAAAAAACAGGCGCCAATATATTATTAAATAACCGTTTCAGCTCTTGGTAAAAAAAAAACAAAAAATTAGTACAATAAGCCACGGTTAATTTTGAAAAGAATTTACACTATTATTAGCATGTCACTATTGTTATGTATATAAATATAAATTATATATTTAAAGTACTTACACATAACTACATTTATATAAATCAAGTTAAATAAAAGCCAATATAATTATAAATTATTTTATTTTATTTTTTTTGTATTAAAGTTTATTTTTCTATGCTATTTTCATGCTATGCTATTTTCATTTCAAATAATTTCAAACTCCCGCCCAAAAGACAAAGTTATGAGATAGGTATTAGGTATCGATATAATATTGTGTGAGCTTCGGTGTGAATGTCAATGCGTTGTGAATACTTTACGATAAGCGTTAAGGCAGCCCTCGTTCCCTCCAAATACCTTATAGGCGCCAATTATTCAAATTCAAAATTATATATATGACTTTTTGGCATTTTTAGAATCATTATATTATTTTTGAGATATTCAATTTTGTAATTCAATATTGTTTAATAGTGATCGTTTGGAGGTAGTTTGTTAACTGAAACCGTTTCTCAACAAAACACCAAATGTACACAAGTTAGCAAGAAGTATACTATACTATATAATTGGCAATGAGCAGCTCATAGACATAATATTTTAGAATTTGCATAGTAGAGGGTTACCTAAAAATCATTTATATAGCATGCATACCTGTTTACCAACTATCAACGCATGTTGAATTTTAAGTATAGAGAAATGTTTACCAACGTAAATTTGCCCATCAACCAAATAGCGAATTTTTTACAATGCCCCCATTTATGCAGCGTTTATACAAATTTAACAACGGTTTCGACTTGTTTATGGAAATGTATGTTTTTCTCAAACGGTGTTTATTTTCAAATGACTTAAGCCTAGCTCGCATAACGCTCAACAAGTGGTGGCCCGGTTGGGGTCTAGAATCGACCCTGGCCTTGACGAGATTCCTGGTGCGGATGGGTGCGGATGTACTCTAGGGACTTGAGGATGGCCGCCGGGATGGGGGGAGGGGTGGGCAGATGGGCGCCGGCGGGATGGAAGCCGTTGGCATCGGCGGAGTAGGTCAGCTGGATGAGCTGGCCATCGGGGGCGTAGTAGGCGTTCGATCCGCTGGCATAGTATCCGCCCACGCCCGACTCCTGCCCGGCAATGCCGTTCGAGGTCTGGTACTGGTAGGCATAGCTGCCGTCCTCCTTTAAATCGCTCTTGTACTCCCTCGTCTCGGCAGCGGCATCAAAGGAATCGGCCTGAACGCAGGCAATGGCCAAGGCGGCAACGGCGAGGACGAACTGCGGACCAAAGGATACTAGTTAGTTGAAAGGGATCATCTCTTGGCAAACCATTTCCCCACTTACGAATTTGTTCATTTTCTGTTTGGACTGGACTAAATTGGGTTGGGCTGAACTGACTTGTTGTCACTGTGAACTCGCAACGAGAATGAATGTGACTGAATTGGCCTGGCGGCGCATTTATAGCATTTTGGCACGCCAATCATTTTGGGCCGGGCACTCGCAGTCGTCGCAGTCGCCGAAAACGCGTATAATTTTCAGCATTGAACATGAACTGCCCCTCACAGATAACAAAAAAGAAAAACCCACACATTGGCACTTAAAGACCCCGCTGGAGACTGACTCTTCCGTCGATACATTTTTTTTTCGGTGAATCGCCGTGTGTGTGTGTGTGTGTGTGTGTGTGTGTGTGTGTGTGTGTGTGTGTGATAGTTTTTTTGGCCATAAACTTTATGCTCCTTTTTGTTCAAGCTGTGGTCAGCCGGTTAATCAATTCGAAGTTGAAGAATTGCTGGCCGGGGGTTAATTTTTCATTAACACCTACGAAAATTGTTTAGTTAGCGCAATTTGTAGTTGCCCCATCAAAGAGTCCACTTTATTTCCTGGCTCAAGAATTAATATAAGGTCTCATGAGCTGGCAAATTATTTTGAAGTGCCTAGCTGTGTTGCAGCATCATTAATAAATGTAACGCCTAGTCCTTTTACCCAAAATCATATGCGAAACTTGATAATAAATCGTTCGCAAAATCAGCGAAATCGATTAAGAACCTCACATGCTAAGGTCAACGGATTCATTTATTACAAAATCACCAAGCGCGCCCAAAAATGAAAAAGGCAAGCTCAACTTTGGGGCAAGAGCAGACGAACGACCTTGCCACCGCGGCGCAACATTTTAGCAGACTGTCCGAAAGTACGACAGTACGACAGTTTATCGACAGCGGAGCAGGCAAGTTTGTATTAAGTTTTGATAAGAGAACTTGCGATGAGCCGGCGATGACGTGACTCACGGGAAACACGAGACATCTGGGGCAGTGCAAAATAAAACTGCTAAGCCATGGGTGAATCTGGTTAAATGGGAAATTGTGGCCCAGTAAAAGTGATGTTAAAGTGTAGCTTACATAATTTTATTTTTATTATTATTAATTTTAATACAATAAAAAAAAAAAACTTATAAAATTTATAAAATTTATGGTATAATTTTCTGTAACAATAATATTAAATTGTACGTAGGTCAAAAATAAAAAGGGAAACCACTAATTTAATATCTATTTTAATACAATAAATAAACAAAATAAATGAAATTAACATATATATATATTTATTTAAATATATAGCTTAAATTAATAATTTAAAAGCAGAGGGTTTTAAGTTGATTAAAAAAATATACCAAAAGGTTTTATTTCACTTATTTTTTTTTTTTTAAGTTGTCTTCACAAAATTAATTTACATTTTTACAATTTACATTCAAAACTTTAAAGAATTGTGTCAACATATTTTATGTTTTAATGGAATACAAAAAAAATCTAGCTATAAACTTCGAAACCTTATATGAGTGATAATAAATTTTAGAAAATGTGTCAATAAATTGAAATCAACAAGACCTCCATGTGCCAAATATACAATTTTAGAAATATTTCCATTAACACATTGCCCAATTTAGTACCCACTTTTATTTGGGTCATATTAAAGGTGTCGTTGTCGTTCTGCCATCACTAAAGTGGCCAAAAGGCATCAGCCAACAACAAGAGAGCTTGACTCGGGGCGCATGCTGTTTCCCTTATAAGATTTGTGTTGGCCTTTTATAAGTACATGGCAACCAGACTGCGTCTGCGACTGGGACTCAATCTGAACCTGGGATGGGGGCGAGTCAAGAGGAAAGTGAATGTGAATGTGCTGAGGGACGATGGACGATGGACGATGTCGCACCAGAAGCAAAAGCAGCATTATCTGCTTTTTGCTGCCCTCTGCTATGCTGGCCTTTTCGGTGTTACTTTCGGCTTTTATGCTCCAAACCGGCTGTTCGGCAATTTGGCTTCATTTTTTTTTGTCGGTCTGGTCGACACATTTGTCCGGTGCCTGCCGCTTGGGCGGCTTTAAATGAAAGAAAAAGTTGTTACGATTCGATGGCGTTTCCTTAAGTTGCTTCCGCTGTACTCAACCATCCTGACCAGTGCTCCTTCTCCCAGACCATCCATCCATTAGGGCATCAATCCATCTTGGCGCGCATTAAGCGGAGACAAGAAGCACCAGCGGAAAGTAAAAGGGGGCAAAAAGGGGACACGCTGTGGATCAGCGACTCCTTGGCCAGTTCCTCACGGCTCACCTGCTCCACATTAATTGACCCACATTCGGTGGCGGCCACTCGTCCAGTCCGCTTCAGACTGGTCCCATTCCGGTCCACCATCCAGTCCCGCCGAAGGTCATTCAGGCGCAGCGCGCGTATCTCAATTTTAGCCTTAGTTTGGGCATGTCTTTGGAAATTTATTTAACGACCACTGCCGCATCTGCACGGAGAAAAAGCTATTGCAATTTCTAATAAATATTAAGTACTTCATTTATTAAATTGAAATATTCTTAATATTTTTTTAAACTGTAAAAGAGTTTTAGGACAGATGGGCTATTCAACAAATTCTCCATTTTAGTTAATTAATAAAATCATTAATTCAATTATTAAACTTATTTATTTAAATTTTTATATAAAAACATATATGTTTTACTAAGATATCAGAATGGTTTTCTTAAAACATACACAAAATTGTGTTATATATTAAAGAAAGTATGTTAAATTATATTTTCAATGAGATTCTTTGCAAAAGAATATATAAAATATATGATTATATTCTAATAGATAAACATTACTCCATCTCATAGATTTTAACAATATACTTTTTATTTATTTAACAAATTTTCAGTCCACCAACTTTGCTTTGATTTTCTCTCCGTGTACTTCGGGCAGGTCTGGCAGAGATTGGTATTTGAATTTTTATGGCCAATCCGTTGCTCTACATTCACTCATCGGATACATTTAGCGAGCTTAATTAATTAATACACTGTCAACGCAAGCGACGCTTGCAGACTGGCTGGCCACTTTTTATGGACCGTTTATACGGTTTCATTCATTTGTTAGAAATCTCGTTTAAGACTTCACCGATTCTGCTGCAGATGTAACCCTATCCAGCGCCCATACATCGAGCAGAAAGCGTTGGCGTTGGGCGTGGAAGGTCGGCCCTTGGGGGGTTTTTTTTTATGGATGCATGGCTTGCCGCCAAACAAAGTCAACGACTTTCGAAAATCTGGCCGCAACGACCTTCAATCGCTAGAGACGAAATGGGTCTGCTAATTGCTTGTTGTTGCAACTTTCATTTCGATTCGCTTTGGAAATTTGTTCGTGGTGGGATTTCGGCCAGTTCGCACTTGTAGCTTCAATTTAAATCAGCTCACGGCTTTATTGAATAACCCAATCAATTGGTTTTTCATCCGATTGATTTTTTTGACAGTCAAACGGTCTACATGTATACTATATGTATATGCAATTCTGGTGCGTGGCCAATGATTAAGGCTGGCTGATGGACTTTTAATCAAAAACCTGATTCAATTTGCATGTTTCAAGTCCGTTTCCTCTCGCTGGTTCACATCTCTTGACAATTCATTTGAATGCGTGAATATGCCATAACATCGCACTACTAATTGATTTGACTTGTAGGCGATGCATTATAAAAGCTTTGAACAAATTATAGCAGCTTATCAATGTTTTATCTTTGCTGTTTTTCAACTTTTATTATGTGGATTGAATTAAATTACAAGAGGGCGAGGCACTCAGAAGAATATTTTATTTATTTAAACGTATCAAAGTTACGGAATATTTATGAACATGCGTGTAAGTGCCAGCGTAAAAATAAAAGTTATATTGGTTTATTTATGACTTCTGTGCATCAGATGCAAAATTAATGCACTTTCACAGCTTTACTGAGCATAACGACAGAAATATGGCTTTTTCTGGCATCGTGAATATGCCATGCGGTGAATTTCGTGAGCTTTAAGGGTGCGAAATGTGTTTATTCTTTTTAAGAGACTTACTGTCAAGGAGGTTTTTTAAGATTATAAAAAAATAATTCAAATTTTAAACTAATCAAAGAAAAATAATATATAAATAGGTAGAAATAGAGTAAACCATAAATATCAGGTACACAATTATCATATTTCTTAATATTAATCCTAATAGTATTTATGTGAGTAATTATTTTTAGTTGTAGGCAACTGGCAGTAGCAGCACTATTCATTAACTAATATTTATGAGTGCAACCAGTTATCTGCACAATGAAACTAGGTTCGTTATGTGTATGATGAGTTATGGACAGACTGCTTTGAAATGTTCGATTAGCATCTGCCTTTCGGAGTCGGATGAAACTAGCAATAGTTTGGTTGGGGAAGAGGGGTTTCAGTGGCCATTTCACGCACCTTGCACCCACCCACCCACCGGTCCATGCAGCACGAGCCATACATATATGCTTAATGCGTCCACTTATCTCGATGCGACGGCATTATGCCATGCTCTGCGGCCTGATAAATGTTTGGGAACAGCGAATCCATTACAGATTTCGTAAAATACGAACGAGCAACTTGGTCGGGGATAATTAATGAATTAACACTAACACTTAATTACCCAAGGGCCGGCAGTGAAGAGTTTCTTGACCCGCGGGGATTGGAGCGGAGTGAAGAAGGTTCAGCCAGGTGGTCAGCAGCGGGTTGGTTTCGTTTTCACTCAAAACTTTTAATGAATATTTGCCGTGGAAGCCACCTAGGGTCGAGATAATTGGTGCTGCAACCGTTGCTGGCTCTCGGCTGTGAAATCCGAAATGAGCTGCCATATGCTGACGATATGATGTGATGAGTTCCCCCAAACCCCAAACCCCAATCAGCAATCCGCCAATTATCATCACCATCAGGTCTAATGGCTGCACACCACTTTCCTCACTTTCGTTGCAGATCAAGTTGGATTTTGTGTTGGGTATAAAAGCGACGGGTCGAGGTTACTGAGGCATCAAACACAGCTTAGCTCTTAGGGTCAAACCAGCAAATAAACCATAAACCAAATCTCAACAACCTAAGCCAGGCGAAAATGTCGAAGATCGTAAGTCAAAGGTTTTGGGCTGCCCTCAAAAGGGATACATACC